GAAATTAAAGATATGAATAAACAAAAAGACATCCATGTTCATAAATTGAAAGATAATATCATCAAAATGGCAACACTCTCCAAACTGATTTACAGATTCAATGCAATCCCTATCAAAATCTCTGCTGGTGTCTTTGCAGAAATTGACAAGCTGACCCTAAAAATTTATGTGGAAATGGAAGGAACCCAGAATAGCCAAAACAATCTTGAAAAAGAATAAAATTGCAAAATTCACACTTCCTAAATCTCAAAACTTACTACAAAGCTATAATGATCAAGACAGTGTGGTACTGGCATAATGACATGTAGATTAATGGAATAGATTTCAGAGTCCAGAAATAAACTCTCATGTTTATGGTTAATAGATCTGCAATATGAATGCCAAGACAACTCAAGGGATAAGGAATAATCTTTTTAACAAATGGTGCTGGGTAAAAGAAAAAAACAAAACAAAACAAAACAAATGGTGCTGGGTCAAATGGCTATCAGCATGTAAAAAAAATGAAGTTAGGCTGGGAGCAATGGCTCACACTTGTAATCCTAGCGCTTTGAGAAGCCAAGGCAGGTGGGTCATTTGAGGACAGGAGTTCAAGACCAGCCTGGCCAACATGGTGAAATCCCATCTCTACTAAAAACACAAAAATTTGCTGGGTGTGGTGGTAGGCACCTGTAATCCCAACTACTCGGGAGGCTGAGGCATGAGAATCATTTGAACCTGGGAGGCAGAGATTGCAGTGAGCTGAGATCACACCACTGCATTCCAGCCCAGGCAATAGAGCAAGACTCAGTCTTAAAAAAAATAACCTCCCCCCCCACACACAGACACACAAATGATGTTAGATCCCTACCTCACACCATGAAAATGAACTCAAAGTGGATCAGAGAGCTAAATGGAAGAGCTAAAACTACAAAACTCATAGAATAAATCAAAGGCATAAATCTTCCTGCCCTTGGATTAGGCAACAATTTCTTAGATACAACGCCTAAAGTACAAACAACAACTATAGTAATGAAATTGATAAATTGGATATCATTAAAGTTAAAAACTTTGTGTTTCAAAAGATGTCATCAGAAAAGTAAGGCCAATGGTGGCTCACGCCTGTAATCCCAGCACTTTTGGAGGCTGAGGCTGGAGGATCACTTGAGGCCAGGAGTTTGAAACTAGCCTGGGCAATATAGTGAGACTTCATCTCTACAGAAAA